GCCACCTGGAACTCACAAACCGCAGTATGACTGCCGGTTCCTATTGGAAACACATATAAAATGCAAAATTTTACATTATGGTGGTAACACCTTTGCCTCTCTATGGTACTGGAGTATTTTGGAATATTGTGTTCTCTTCTGGTTGCCATATCTAAAAAAGGATGTGAAAAGGTGGATTAGAAGGGGCGAGCCGGCATGGAGTAGTGGATAGGGTGACCAAAATTCAAATCCTTGCTTCCACCATGGAAGCTTGCTGGCTGACCTTGGGCCTGTCACAAACTCTCAGCCAGGTCTACTTTACAGGGTTGTTGTTGTGAGAGACTGGAGGAAGGGAGAACGATGTTCAAAAAACCCCTCTGAATCCCTATTGGTGAGAAACGCAGAAACAAATAAATACAAAATCCATAAACAAATAATAAATAGCACTCAAAAAGGTGTACAAATAGCCAACCAAAATGGTTAAGGAGTTGCAGTGCCTTCCCTATGAGTCAAATCAAACAAGTTTGTGGCTTCTTAGTTTAGAGATGCCTTAGGGAACGCGTGATAGAGCTTTATAAAATTACATGTGGGAACTTCCACGTTCAGAGGCAGTAAACCTGTGAATACCAGTGCCAGAAGGGGAAGGCCTTGGACTCTATGCCCTGTTGTTGGACCTCCAGAGGAACTGGTTGGCCACTGTGTGAGACAGGATGATGGAGAAGATGACCACTGGTCTGATCCAACAGGGCTCTTCTTACGAAGGCAGAAAATGGATACAGAGACCTTTTTCTTCCTCCCCCAAATACTAGTACTCAGGGGCACCCAGAAAAGGAAAAGCAATTCTTCACTCAGTCATTGGCTCAGGTGAATTGCTGCTGTGGGACATGGAAATGGCCAGTACTTTAGTCAGCTTTAAAGGGGGATTAGACAGATTCTTAGAGGATCGGTTCACCAGTGGCTATGAACCATGACGGCTAAATGGAATGTCCATACTCAGATCCAATGTCCCTCCGAATACCGGTTCTGGGGGGGAGGGTAACAACAGGGGAAGTTTTAACCTCTGTGCTCAGCTTGTAAACCTTCCAGAAGCACCAAGGCAGGCCTGGTGTGTGTGAAACAGGACACTAGACTAAATGTACGGTTGATCTGACCCAGAACAGGTGCTCTTATGTTATTATTTATTTAAGGAAGGGGCTAAATTGTACAATAACTGATTCAGTTCCATTTGGAAAGATCTGATTCTAGCAATTCATAGACAGTAAAAAAAAATTCTCTGTGTGAGCTTTGTGACAGGATTATAGATATTTTTGTTGGTTTTGAGTTACAGTTTTATATTCATTTCTTTAAAGCTTCATTGGCTTCCCAACACAGTAAGAAAGACTGGTTTCATACTGGATAATTTTATCAGATTTCAGAGAGAGAACACCTGGGTCATAGAGTTTTATAAGTGAGCAAAATGCTGTGAATAGCCGCTTCGCTTTAAAAAAAATGTTTCTGAGCTTTTCTAGATTGTTGTTTTTTAAATTGGACACTTTTCTTTGTACTAAGAGCAGATATTTATTACAAATGCCTGAAACTGGAATGTCCAGGAACAAAGTTTGATGTCTATGCCAGATAAGGTAGCCAGGCCCAGCCTGGAAATCAGCAGGAGACTTGGGGGGGGCAGAGGCATGGGGGTGTCCATTGGTGATGGTGTGACATCATGCCTCTCAAGGAATCAGCAGAAACATTATGGTAAAACCACAACGTTGTCCTCAATTCCTAGAGGTGTGATGTCACTTCCAGGTTTATCTCAGAAATGACATCACACCACTATTGATGGCGTTTGTTTCCCCCTGCCAACTGCTGGAGTGCTGGTGGGTAACACCGGCTGGGGACAAGAGATCGCCCACCCCCAGCAGCATTTTTTTTGGTCACTAAGTCACAGCCAATTGCGTAGCGACCATAGCATTCTTTGGTGGTCTCCCATCCAAATACTAACAAGGGGTGGCCCTGATTAGTTTCTGAGATCTGATGAAATCAGGCTAGCCTGGGCTATCCAGGTCAGGGCCAATGCTCCATCAAAGCTGTGGAGCCTTGTGAGCAAAAGTTCTACTTTGTGAGCTGCTGGCATTAAAGTTGCGAGCAAGTGATTTGGCTACTGCATAAATTAGTTTGCTCTGGAGCCCTCCTTTCTGAGCTAAGACAAAAATCTGTGAGCTGGAGGCTAAAAAACTGTGAGCTAGCTCACACTAACTCAGCTTACAGGGAACACTGGTCAAGGCCCAGCAGGCATATGGTAAACCTTATACTAGATTTGATACCAATGACCTGTTGCCCAATAAGGGACAAAACCCCTGAAATATCCAGTATCAAAGATTTGTCATTGGACAAGCCCAGGCTTCCTTGAGTGGAAGTAATCTTCTAGACCCATTTCAATGCAGATTCAGGCTGACATTTGATCTGTCACCCTGATAGACAATCTGTACTGGATGAAAGATCGGCAAGTGCAGCAGGAGATCTTTCAGGGTCTTTTGATCCTATTGAGAATGGTATCCATTAGGACTGGTTGGGTGGGATGGGTATGGTGGCACCACTTTGCAGCGGTTCTATTCCTACATAGCCAATCAACACTCAAAAATGTTTGGGGGAGATACTTTTCGACCTACTGCCCCAAATTCTATTGGGTCCCTCTGAGTTCCTCACACTATTTAATATCTACATGAAAGCTTCAGGGTGGTGGCAACATCTGGGAAGTCAGTATACTCAGTATCAAACTTAGTTGTTGTTGTTGTTCAGTTGCACAGTCAAATCTGACTCTTCGCAACCCCATGGACCACAGCACACCAGGCCTTACGGTCTTCCGCTGTCCTCTGAAGCTTGCTCAATTTCATGTTCGTTGCATCAATGACACTGTCTAGCCATCTCATCCTTTGCCGTCCTCGTCTTCTTTGACCTTCAATCTTTCCCAGCATCAGGGTCTTCTCCAGTGAGTGCTCCCTTTTCCCTTCTCATTTGGTGATTAGTGATTAGTTGTAAGGTAAAGGTAAAGGTTTCCCTTGCTTGAAAGCCAGTCAAATCCGACTCTAGGGTTGCGGTGCTCATTTCTGTTTCAAAGCCGAAGAGCCAGCGCTGTCCGAAGACGTTTCCGTGGTCACATGGCCGGCATGACTAAACACCAAGGCGCACGGAATGCTGTTACCTTCCCACCGAAGTGGTACCTATTTATCTACTTGCAATTTCTTGCTTTCGAACTGTGGTAGATAAAAAGGCAAATAAAAAGTTTGAAGCTTTTCAGCAAAGACCCTGAGTATTTTTGGGAATATTCAGGATCAGGATACCAGTTTTGCCAAGATTCCCAAAGATCAATCCAGCCGGCCTTGGCCAGGAGGGCGGGATAAAACTATAATAAATAAATAAATAAAATCTGGAATTTAAGGTATGGGGAGGGGATTATATTCAGACTGGATATATCCAAGCAGCCGTCTGCAGCACAGATGTTAGGATACCAAAAACCCTTAGTAGTTTCTGCCACTAGCTTGAGATCTTAAATATATGGATTGCCTGCTTTAGGCCAGCCGGTAATTCTCCTCTTGAATGTAGTTAGCATGAATGTGTGAGACAGCAGCTTTAGACTTTCTTTCATGTCATTTCTTTCCCTGGAAGAGCAAACACCATCTTTTATTCTGGCCTTGTTTAAAAACTTTTTTGTTCACTTTGTCAGGCTGACTTAATTAACATTTACAGGCTGCTGTGGAAACTCAGGTTTGGAGTGGCTTTGGTAACAAGAGTGTCCTTGGTGACGTGCATACTGTTTTGAGGGGTTTGCAGGCCAGAAGACTCTGAACACTAGAAAAATTGGGATTTATTTCCCTTAAATCCCACCTTCCTCATGTCCCAGTTCAAATAGGGCTCCAGCCAGGGAAAACGAATACAGTTGCAACCAAACTGACTTTTCTATGTTAGAAGAGTCAAAACATTAAAACATATGTGGACTTCTGTGTGTGCTAAAGTCTTTTTTAAAAAGCAGCCAGTGGCCCCTGCCACACAGGGGGGGGGGGGACACAGGCAAAGTGTGGCTTTTTAAAGCTGCACCAAAAAAGACACGCGGCGGCGGGATCACATAGATCCCTTGAGCCGACGCGCACTTCCTCCCCGGCACGATCAGATGCTGGGGGAAAACCACTAAAGAGGGAGGGAGGCAGCTGAACTGCGCATGTGTGCGCGTGCACAGTTCGGCCGGGAGGCTGGATTGCTGTGGAGGACGAGCGCGCCGGCGATCCCACGGTCGCGCTTGCTGCGGTGCTCCAGGTAAGTTCTCCTCTGTAGGAGGTTCTTTTTACAGCGGGTTTTCTGGGTGTAGGGACGGATCGGGGACGGGTGTGCGCCGCTTCCCAAATGTTGCGGTGAGATCGCGCCCGTTTGCTGCACCCCCAATCCATTCCTCTCCCGGGCCAAAATCTCCCGTGTGACCGGGGTCAGTGTTGTGTAGTAGTGAGAGTGTTGGAGTGGACCCCAGGGGACCCAGAATCAAATCCTTGCTCTGCCAGTGAATTTGGGCCAGTCACTGTCTTTCAGCCTAACCTGCCTCACAAGGTTGTTGTCAGGATAAAAGGGAGCATAAAAGACCTATGCTGTTAGCTGATTTGAGTCTTGATGGGGGGAGGAGAAGAGGAGGAGGAGGAGGAGGAGGAAGAGGAGTTGGGAGGAAAATGTGGATATAAGATCTAATCAAATGAATGAATAATACCATAGAGTGCATGAGAGGTCAGAACAGATGATTTGAATGTTTGAGTGACATCTGATGCCCCTAATACTCCATTTTTGACAACCACTGGTCAGTTTTAGAATCTTATAAAAGGAAATAAATAAAGACCACCATACATAGTAACATAAATAATGTTATTACACAGCAATAGGTAGATTGACAAATAAATAAATCTGTTATTTATATTATGTATAATAAAATACTATATACCATTTTCTAATATATTATTTCCCTGTCGTCAAAGTGCATCAATGACTGCAGGTGTTTTGTAGGTCACAGATATGGGTGGAGCAAATAAAGCCAACAAGAAGAGAGAGGATCAAAGCGTTCCACAGAGGAAGCAGAGACTCCGTTGTTCTTTCTTCCCATGTCACCGGCAGCCAAACCAGGAGTTGCTTTTCTGTACACCAGTAAATCTTTTCTGCTTGCTGTCAAACTTATATTGCTTTGAGCCGCTGAATAAATAGAAGTGTCCTGAAAGAATAATGCGAAAAATAAAGAGTGTGAACACAGGAGGAGTAATAAAGTATCAAATCCTATTTTACAGATTCCATCTTTCTGTCCTGCTTCCTTGACGTGTTATCTTTAAAACAGAGATAAGCCCACCAGGTACTAACAGGCAGGGCTTTTTTTTCCCTGGGGGAACGCGTTCTGGAACCTCTTCAGTACTAACAGGCAGGGCTTTTTTTTTCCTGGGGGAACGCGTTCTGGAACCTCTTCAACAAAATTCTTCTAAAAATGTTTAAAACTTCATGAGTTTTCAGGATACAGATTGAAAACTTCGTTTCCCTCTTGAGAGTTCTGGCACCTCTTTTTCCAGAAAAAAAGCCCTGCAACTGGCCAGTCTCCACAAAGAGACATATTGAAACAGATGAAACATGTATTAGTGCGACAGTTTAGGAAGCAAGTCTATAAGATATATAAATAATGCCACTAAATTAGTAGCAGTCATATAATACCACCATGATTTTGGGTGAATTGCCCTCTTGGTGTGTTTAAGTGATACATCAGTTCATTGCCCAGTGCCCCAGTCAACAGAATTGGAAGCACCTGGAAAAGTATGTGCCCACTCTAGCTCATGTCTATTGGAGGATTCCCACTCCCACTCCCACACCCATAGTTATTGTGAATTATATTTTATCCTGCCCTTCTTTCAACCATTCCACCCTTAACATCTCTCTTTTGTAATTCAGCTAAATTTTTGCCTGTAGACTGAGACTCCTCTCCCCTTGTGAAAATACCCTATCCTAGGTTATAGTGCTTGGTTCACAGGGATGGTGTTCACTTGACAACACTCCCAGTGGTTTTTCACTAACTGATAGTCCAGGCAGCCATTAGCAGAAGAAAGTGTTTTGTACTCAGTAGTGAATTTTTGAGGCGTTTTTGTGTTCCCTGGAATCAATGGAGCCTGTTGAGAAAGAATACAGATTTCTTCAAGCCTATGATTTATGTGTGGAAAGGTGAGGGAAATGGTAGCTTGCTGTCAAACTCATATTGCTTTGGACTGCTGAGTAAATACAAGTGTCCTAAAAGAATAATGAGAAGGATAAAGAGTGTGAAAATAGGAGGCATAATGAATTAAGGAATCTTATTTTAAAGATCCCATCTTTCTGTCTTGCTTTCTTTTCATTTTCCACTCTGACTTTGCTTAGGACAAATGGTAGCATAATCTCAACAAGAAGGAAATGTCTATTATGTAGTAAGTGGCCAATCTCCATAAAGTAATATATTGGTGCAAACCCTTTGAAATGGATTGAACCTGCATTGGTGCAATGGCTTAGGATGTCTAAAATATATAAACAATGCAGCTAAAATGGCAGCCATTAAACACCTGCATGGTCCCCCCCCCAAAAAAAACCCCTGAATATTGCTCTGTTTACGTAGTGCATAAATGAACTGGCCCTTGCCCCAGTCATTTGGAAGCTTGAAATATATATAGCAGGTGTTTATACCTTTAGGAGTCTGAAAGAGGCTTATAATTGCCTTTCCCCTCCTCTCCCCACAACAGGCACCGTGAAGTCAGTGGAGCTGAGAGAGTTCTGAAAGAACTGTGACTGGCTCAAGGTCACCCAGCAGGCTTTATGTGAAGGAGTGGGGAATCAAACCTGGTTCTCCAGTTTAGAGTCCACTGTTCTTAACTACTACACCATGCTGGCTCTCACAGGTGGGGCTGAGAGAGTTCTGCAAAAACGGAGACTGGCCAAGGTCACCCAGTAGGTCGCATGTGGAGGAGTGGGGAATCAAACCCAGTTCTCCAGATTAGAGCCTGCCACTCTTAACTACTACGCCATCCTGGCTCATATCTGCCAGCTATCATGTGGCTGGCTCCTGTCTGTTGTGGGATTCCCTCTCCAATGCCAACATTTATTATTTTTATTTATTTATTTAAAATGTATATATACCTTTCCTTATGGCTGCTCCTGCTCTTCTTCCAAGAAGTGCAGAGAAGGGTGCATCATTCTGCCTTTAATTTCCCTATTACTGAATTCACCTAATCCTCTCCCTTCCTGCCAATATCTATTGCTGGGTTAGGGACTGGATGCTTAGATCACAGGAATGGCATACACCCTGCAACAAACCAAGCAATTGTCTGCAATACGGTAAGCCAGGTAGCCATTAACAGAGAGAAGTGTTTTGTGCTCAGCAGTGAGAATCTGAGGCATTTGTGTGTTTCCCTGTATCTTTGGAGCCTGCTGGGAAAGAATACAGATTTCTTCATGCTTAGGATGTGTGTGTGTGTGTGTGTGTAAAACAGAGGGAAGTGGTAGCCCTCAGCTTTTCAAGTCAAGACGTTGACATCAGAGCCACTTTCTTACTCCAAATGGCAGTGGTAGCTTTGCATTGATGCCAAATGCTGAACTGGGTGCTGATTCTAGAGCATGGGAACTACTTAACCTTTGTGAATGTTGCCAAATACCTCTTAGCCATCACGCCTAGATTGCCATCTTTACTAATGGTCTTTCAAAATGCTCTGGGATCACCTTCTGCTTACCATTATGCTGTAAAGCCGCATCCACTGTAGAGGGAATTCCAGGGAAGTCTGAGCTGATCTTTCTTGGATAGCCATTCTCCATAGACATCTTTGTTTCATCATAACTGAAAGAGGAAAGGGGGTTCAGACATCAATCGTGCTTTTGGTGGCATGCTCTTGGAAAGAGGAACCAGAAATAAATATATTTAAGGCCTTTAGATTTTAACCTGTTTGTGAAGTTGGGAGCGCCATCAAGTCATGAATCTATGACATCTAATGTGGGTTGCAGTCAAAGTGTCTCCACCATTTCATTTTATGGGCAGAGAAGGCCCACCACTCTTAATAGGAGCCACCTTGACCCTGTCCTATTATAAAAGATGTCAGGCTGTGTTAACTGAGCATCTGAGAGGTATTTTGTACCCTGAGATTGTTCACATACACAGCCCTTTAATATGTCCTGTTATTTTATTTTATTTTTGGAACGTCCTGACTTCCTGCTGTATGTGTAATGGAAAGAGTTTCATTGTCATTTGCATCCCATTGTCATTTACAGCCCAATCCTAACCATGTTGATTCTCAACTAAATCCTTGGAAATTTAATTTAGTCAGCTCCTAAGGAAGTTTGCATAGGATTACATTGCTAGAATGGCAGCCAAGCGTCTGAGCTTAGAGCCATGCAGTCAGGATTTAGTCTTCAATTCTTATTATTGGCATCTATATTAACAAGCTTGCCTCCATGTGGGAGAGCACCACATGCCTGGAAACTGGACACAATGGCAGTTAGATCTGAAGATTGCCAATGCAGCCTTGATTTGGAGATAGGGGGTGAACCAACAAAGATTTCTGTTCTTACTGGGTGATCTATTGTTTCAGGTGCAGAGGTTTAAACACATTTATAAAGGAGTTCTCAGGATTGTCCAGGCAGCTAATTTATACTTACCTCCAGTACTCATCTCCTGAAAAGAATAATGTTCTCTTTGTGTCTTTGTTGAAAAGAGCTGCATCAATTTTCTTTACAGTTTTCGGGAAGCCCAAGGCATGGATATTCTTTGGGTAACCTGGCCGTATAATATTTGCCTGGGTAGCCCAGTACTTCTGTCCTGAAGAAAAAGAGAAAGAAAGGGGTTTTGAAAGGCTCTTACATGGAACGAATATAGAAAATTGGCTACTATCCTCAGCATGGTCAGATAGGTAGTTAGCAGCTGAACTGCATTAGGAGAAAACTACCATTTCCACAGAAGTGAAATTTCCTGCATGACATTTTAAAAATTGTGTGTTATGTTGCTCCCACTGGGGAAGATGGTACTGAAGATGCCTTTGTCTGAGACATCTTCATCTGAGAAGGTCAGACCAGAACCAGTGGGTAGAAATTAAATCAAAAGAGTTTTTGGCTAAACATTAGGAAGAACTTCCTGACAGTTAGAGTGGTTCCTTAGTGGAATAGGCTTCCTCGGGAGGTGGTGGGCTCTCCTTTGGAGGTTTTCAAACAGAGGCTAGATGGCCAACTGACAGCAATGCTGATTCTGTGAATTTAGGCAGATCATTAGAAGGAAGGGCAGGAAAGGTTGCATCAGTGCTTAGTTGTCATGACCCTTTCTTACACACCCAGGGAAATGCTGATCACCACTTTGGGATCAGGAAGCTATTGTTCTCCAGGCCAGTTTGGCCAGGGATCCTGGAGGGTGTTTGGGTGGGGCTTTTTGCCCTTTTCTGGACATAGAGCAGGGGTCACTGGGATGAGGGGGGTATTTGTGAATTTCCTGCATAGTGCAGGGGGTTGGACCAGATGACCCCAGAGGTCCCTTCCAACTCTATGATTCTATGAGATTGGACAGAGGAGCAGGGAGTGGCATGCTAAAACATTTGGGAAAGTTGACACAAGGAGAAGAGGATTAAGAAAGCCTTGTTGATGCTTACTGATTGATGTAGGGATGCCAGCCTCCAGGTGGGACCTGGGGATCCCCTGGAATTACAGCTCCTCTCCAGACTACAGAGATCAGTTCCCCTGGAGAAAATGGATGCTTTGGAGGGTGACCTCTATGGCACTTTACCCCACTGAGGTCACTATCCTCTGTAGGCTCCATCCCCAAATCTCCAGGAGTTTCCCACCTGGAGCTGGCAACCCTACCCACCACTGATGGGCAGAGGGGTCTAGCACTGATGTGTATAACAACAGGTTTTTCTTATGGATCCCCTTGATTACAAAACTGGAATAAAATTGGAAGCCCCACAAGCTAGTTTGGTCCCTATTTTACCATATACATGAATATTTAGAATGAGTAGGTGCAAAAAATATTTATTTATTTATTTAGATTTGTACCCCGCCCTCCCCACATAAAAACCCTTTGTCATATTATATTAAACTTGTAGTTTATTATATGTTATAATGGCCCCGGTCATATGGGCCGGAAAATGCGGAGGGAAGCGTGGCTGTTTGCCCTGGAGCAAAATAATGTGCGGCCGCCCGATCACACGTCCCGTCGAGGTCCCGTGGTTAGGGCATGAGGTGCCAATCACACGGCTATCCTGCAGCGCGGCAAAGAAGCGGCGCTGCGCGATCACACCAGCAATCAGGCGCCGTTTCTGTGGCAAACGGGAAATTTTTTTCTCACCAAAAGGTGAGCATGCGCATGATCGTTTGTGCGCATCCTGTGAAGACTAAAAAAAAAAAAAACTAACCAGTTTGTGATGGGACTAGGACGGGATGCGATCAGACGCCCACCCTTGCCCCGTGTTTTCTGGAAACTAGTACATCGTAAGTACTAGTTTTTTACTCCTTATGTTTGGCACGAAGCCATGGGTTAGCCACGGGTGCACTACACTTCCCAGGTGTTGCGGTGTGATCGTGCCCAAAAAATCCACCTATCATCCGTATCTTTAGTGCGGCAAATGCTCCGTGTGAACGGGGCCAGTATTTATTATATTTAGTTATTGTTTGCATTAGTTTCATTGGGTAACCTATTTTTTTTCTGGACTACTTCAGTGTGATCCGCACTGCTTCAGTGTGCAGGTGGTAGATTCCAGCTCTGGAAGTTTCTTCTTACACTCACACATACACATAAAACACACAAACTCCATTCAAGAAGAAAACTAGCATAACAGAGAGAAAGCTTTCCCCCTCGCTCTGTTTGCTATACTGGGGCCGAGTTCAGACTGGCAGTTTGAAGCAGGAGGGAGTCATTGCAAAAAAGAGCTGGAACAAACTGTTCCAGGTTTTCCCGGTCAGACTGTGCAGACTGATGCGGGAGCATACTGGGAGGAGGCACGAGGGAGTGTTCACACCGTTGGCTCGGAGGCACAGCTGTAAGCGGCATTTTCCTTGCGGTAGACACCTAAGTGCATGGGCGGCAAAGAGGGCAGGATCTGGCCACTGTGGGCCATAGGCACATCCGGCCACATCACTACCCCCTCTTCAAGGCAATCACCTGCACCTTCCTGGTGCCAGAGTGAGGCTAGGAGGTCAGTCAGCGTAAACAGCCCGTGCACATTATTAACATGGGCTGTTCCCAGCTTTTAGCGGTTAGCGTTCACACTTCCGGGAAGTGGAATGAAGCGGGATAAATGGGCTCTCCAGGGTTTGCTACCACTTTTACCAGGTATCTTTTAAACCCGGGAGGCAAGCACTACAAGATGGGTTGAGTACGGTTGGGGAACGCCAGACAGATGTGCCTATGTGAATGGCCCCTTTAATCCGCTTGTGAAACGTTCCTCACACGGGCCTATATCGGGGCAAACTGCCAGTCTGAACTTGGCCTGGTACTGTTTTTATAACATAAGGGGGTATTCCAAAATGTGGTCCTCCACCTGCAGCCTGCAGTGGTACATTCCATTCTACCACATCTGCATTCTCATGCCTCATGTGAACCAAGCCTCAGAAGATTTACCTTTAAAAAGAAATAAGATGTCTTTATCTTCAAGTTCATAAGCAGCCTCAATGCCACCTTTCAAGGCTGGCCAGAAAGCAGAAATGGGTCCTTTTTCAATGTTCCTTCTTTGAGGATTTGTCCGCCACATGAAGCTGAAAGAAAACAATGCAACAGAAATATTTACCTCAAAGTGCAATGGCTTGACTGTTCTAAATCTGATCCGAGACCTGGTTTACCAGTCACCAGAGTTCCAAGATACGGATTCTGGTAGCTACAATTAAGAGCTAGTAGCGACCATTGCACTTGATTGTCAAAATTATCATGTCGGATTGATTAAATAAACTGTATGTTTAACATACTGTGGTCATCTTGTGAGCTCAAGGTAGATTCTTTATATTTGTGCACTAAGCCAACACATCCAGTTCTTGACAGTCATCTAAGAAGTAATACCCAGACTGTGCACCATACATGATCCCATGGAGTTTTATCCAGATGTTTTGTTGGTTTACCAAAAATAGCCATGGGAATGTGGGAAATCCGGCACAGGAGACCAGCAAGAATGAGACAAATGGAGGGCTTAACCATTCCCGTCCTACAGGTTTTTTTCCTGCTCAAAATTGCCCTCCTCCAAGCTTCTTTTCACCTCCTTCAAGTGAAATGCAGCATAGCAGTGGGCTATTTTGAGCAGAAAAATAGTGGGGGAAGAAAGCATCCGCAGCTTCCTCCCCACTGGTCCTTCACCTAGGACTGCAGCCTCAGCAATGGTTTGGGGCCTAAAAAAATAACTCTGGGAAAATCATGCATGAGTAGTGGTACAATCCTGAACAGCCTATTGAGTTCAGCTTTGCTTAGGACTGCACTGAAATTGTCACATAAACCATGGGTCTCATTTACCTGTCTTTAAAGAACAGAGTTTCTCCTCGGAAAGTGGCGACAGCATCAAAAGAGAGGTGAGGGTCACACATGTCTGGTGTTGATTCTTCTGCTGGAGAGTTTGTGGGAAATTTGGATTCTCGTGTGTCGTCATCATTGTCGTCATCATCATCATCATTATATTCAGGGGGTCCTTGAAAATGATTTAAAGATACAACTGAAGAACAAGCTGACTTCAATTAGAAGCAGTTCAAACCAACTGCAAGCAGCTACATTCTCAAACGGTACTCCCAAAGATTCAACTCACTGAAGCTGTCCAATCATGTCAGGTGACAATCTGACACTGGGGTGGACCCTACCCCTACCCTACCCTTCCAAGCGGCAAAGTTTGAAACCTTCCTCCAGCCTGAGGAGACTTCTTCCAACTTATGTGGTTCTGTCATTCAGGACAAACCACTTAACCTGGAGGAAGACTCCATGGAGAATGGTTGGATCCAACCCATCATGGTAATAAATATCTGATGTACAGCAAGAGTACAGCAAATTGATTGGTCCATATTAAGAATTCCTAATAGGCAGGATGAGGTGTCAAACCACTCAGTGGACACATATTTACTAAGAATTCCCATTGACTCACTCCCAGAAATTTGCATAGAATTACCATTTTGATTCTACCATTTTGAGAGCCAGTTTGGTGTAGTGGTTAAGTGTGTAGACTCTAATCTGGGAGAACCGGGTTGGATTCCCCACTCCTCCACTTGCACCTGCTGATGTGACCTTGGGTCAGCCACAAGCTCTGGCACAGCTGTTCCTGAAAGAACAGTTTGTGTCAGAGTTCTCTCAGCCCCACCCACCTCACAGGGTGTCTGTTGTGGGGAGGGGAAGGGAGAGGAGTTTGTAAGCCGCTCTGAGACTCCAAGTGAAGGGCGGGGTATAAATCCAATCTCCTCTCTCTCTCTCTCTCTTCTCTTCTTCTTCTTCTTTTGTACTCAATAGATCACCATTCTTGTTGAGAAAGACCTCCCCTGGTGATTCTTCCCAGCCTGATGGGGAGGGCTTAGAGGAGATCTTTGTCTGGTGGTCCATGGTGGCTCTCATCAGCTCTAGCTGTTGTGTGTGAATGAGGCATTACAGTTTTAAAGCCACAGACTGAATATTCATATCTCCTCAAATCATCTCCGTCAACTCATGATGCCTTGAAATTGAACAAGTTTATAGGAAACTAGCAGTAAAGCCCGTTGTGAAAGCAATACAACGGGGTCTAGAAAGAGGCTCTGGGGCAGTGCTCTGGCTTTGGGCAAACAGTGTCAATTTGCTGTGGTGACCTTAGCAGGGTATAATGACAGAGTCCACTGTTTTCTCCAGAGGAACTGATCTCTGCTACCTGAAGAGCAGTTGTAATTGTGAGTAATCTGTAGCCCTCACTTGGAGATTGGCAACAATTGTTACCCAGGACAAAATGGCTGGTTTGGAGGGTGGAGTCTATGGCATTCTACCTGTCTGAGGTCCCACCCCTCTGCAAACCCCACCCTCTCCAGGCTCCACCCCTCAAATCCCCAGGAATTTGTCAGCATGTAGTTGGCAACCCCATCTCCTTCCCAGCTAGCCATCAACCTACCATTATCTGCCCCTTTGACTTCAGCTGACTTCTGCCCTCCCTTCTGCAGAACAGTTGTAATACTGAGTGCTCTCCAGCCCTCACCTGGAGATTGGCAACAATGGTTCCCTATGTGGGACTGACTGGTTTGGAGGGTGGAGTCTATGGCAGTGTACCTGTCTGAGGTCCCACCCCTCCTCAAACCTCACCCTCTTCAGGCTCCATCCCTCAAGTCTCCAGGAATTTCCCATCTGGAGTTGGCAACCCTATCAGGATTGGCCCCAATGTGGTTTCTCCCAAAGGCCAAAGTAGGTGACAGGACCAAGCTTAGTTGCCTACCAACAGGCACTGAGGGGAATGTAGGGTTGCCAGCTCTAAGGAGGGAAATACCTGGAGGTTTTGGGGGTGGATTCTGTAGAGGGCCGGGCGACGGAGGCATCGGCCTTCCGTCACCCACCTCGCCCCCCCAATCTCGGCCCGGGCGACCGCGGCTCCCACCAGCGGCTGCCCGACTCCAGACCCCCCCGCGCCCACTCCAACCGGGCGACAGAGGCATCGGCCTTCCGTCACCTGCCTCACCCCCAATCTTGGCCGGCTGATGAAGGCATTGGCCTTCCGTCGCCTACCTCGCCCCCCCCCAATCTTGGCCGGGCGACGGAGGCATCGGCCTTC